ACTGTCAAGCTTTGGGGTGTTGATCGACTTTATCTACATTTTGATTATCATTCTGAATCCAATTCACAGACTTTTTCAGCTTTTTGTTCAAAATGTTGTTTATTTCTTTCCTTTTTATTTATGAAACTTATCCACATTCAAGTGTTTAAAAAAGAATGCATGAAGCTAGAATAAAATGTTTTTGTTTACAAGCAGATACCCTGTTCTTTTGATGTTTGTATGTTCAGATATTCATGTAACAAAATATATACAAATTAATACCTAAATAGGGACATAGTAGTATATTTAAAGTATGATGTAAAGTTCACTTAAAGAAAACTTACGAGTATACTTGCAGTATAAAACTACTAAACTAGTAGTTTACTGAGACTATACTTCAAAGTGTACTAAAATGCTACTACAAGTATTTAATTAGTAAACTATCAGTATACCTATAAGTTCAATTTTAGTGATATTTAACAACTTATAGTTGCAGTACAAACTAAACATTTTGATGTAAACTAGTTGTGTACTCAAAGTTTACTACTGTTATACTTAAAGTATACTTAAAAGTATACTTTTATATACTAGAAAGTGGGCCAATTTAGTCCCAAGGAGTATTGAAATAGTACACTTGCAAGTATACTACTAGTACACTGATATTTGTATACTTACTACATAAAGTATACTTAAAAATATACTTGAACTTTACTTAAGTATACTTACTAAAATAAACTTGAAGTATACTACTTTTTGGTAAGGGTACTGTGAATGACCGAGTCTGAAGCCTCAGGAAGTCCCAGCTGGGTGTCTTACAGATGTGTTAGGCGTGACATCACTGTGGAATTTCCGCTAATGTGCCGCTATCTGTGTGATCTGTTTGTCTGTGCGATAAACAACAGACATTGTGAACTTCACCTCAAGGCACCCTCTGCTACCCAGACAACATTGGTTTAACGAGACACAAACACTCTTCTGCCTTCACACACACACACACACACACACACACACACACACACACACACACACAAACACACAAACACACACACTGTTCAGTAGTAGAAGAGTCATTATTTGACATTTTGTCATTAAACTTTATTCTACAATTTATTTTAAGTTAAGGAGAGTTAAACTTTATTATGGAATATGAAGTTTATTATTCAAATACAAAATTAGCAGTTTCAAAAGAGAAAACGAAAAGAATATTTTTAACAATAGAAAGGCACATATTTTTTGTCCCTCTTAACACAGACTAGAGCCACATACTGAAATGTTTAGTCTGACTGCCCAACACTGACATCTACTGGACCTTCCCAACAAATCTCAGACACATTTGTTCATTAAGAAAAATGTTCATATAACACACTATACTTTAAACTGGCCATAATATCAATAACCACTAATTCAAAACATACATACCTACAGGTATGTAATATGATAACAATAATGAACAATCACATATTAACCGAAGGTCATTTTAGTTATGTTTCCAGTTTTTCTTCAACACACTGTTTTACTTGAGAAATATGATTTCCATCATGAGAAGATGTGCAGTCTATCTGATTTTCATTTACTGTAATAGTCTTTGCCCAGCAGTTACATACTCTAGTGCCTGAACACATTAGAATAATAAGATATTTCCCTAAAATAATTCAAGAAAAAGGTGAAAACAGACTAATTAAATTGTATGGTTCAAAACAAAACAAACAAACAAAAAAATTCAAAAGCAGCACCGTTTGTCTTGAAGGACAATGCCTTTGTGACCAAGACAGCGTGATGTATGTTGTTCTTTACATTTTCCTGCTCTCCTAAGTTTTCTTTCTTTATCCCTTTAAGACAAGAAAACAGGAAAACGAATTCAAACTGTTCCTTCACTTGAAAGATAAGGGAACAGGAAGTATGTTTCCTTGTGCTCACACAGACAGGAAGTTGACATTTCAGTGACGGAGCTGCTCATTTTAAATGAGACGGGAGAAGTGTGCTTGGCGTATAATTCCCTACAAGAAAGGGAGAAGGTGGCTTCCACATATTGTGCCCATGGTTAATGGGGGAAATAGGGTAGAGTTTGTGCACAGTGGTAAATATTTAAGGTATAAAGATGGTTTACACATTTTTCAATAAAAAGGAGACCCACTTGTCTATTTAGTCTCGAATGAAGGATGAACAATATTGTCAAGACACTGCCTGGCTTGCTACCTATCATCAAAATATTATTTAACAAGTTCAGTTTTGCTTTTTTTCTTATTTGACACTGTTAAATATATAGCCACACTTATGATTCACATGTTAATACAGTTATTCAGACCACTTCTCACATTTCAACAGGCACACAATTCACTGCACGTTTCCTGAGACGTCTGCAATTGCTTTATATTAGTCGACCTTTGAGATTTGGGCTTTACTCATAACAATCGATGTGCTGATGATTTCTGTCAAATAAACTTGGAGTAGCCTTTAATTCTTTCAAAGTACAGTTATCACCATTTCCTCTGTTGCTCCCATGGCAATGCAGTAGGTTTCCTGATGAGAAGAGTCTGCTGAACAATGCTGGCTCTGCAATTACACTGACCATGAGTCCAGAAAACACTTGTATAAACTGGCAAACTGGGGATTTTTACAGGAATACAAGATAAAAAAAAAATGAACAACACAATCTCATTGCTACTTCTAACTTTTAAATTTGGTTGCAAATTCATATTATTTGTATAATCCCATTTGTATGTTTTCAGTTTTAGGGGTGGGTAACATTTTCAAGTCGCCAAAATGTAAAATAATTATGTTTTCTCAAGAGACTGGGCTGAGATACAATATCTGCACAAAGAAAAGAAAAAAAAACAACAACAACAAAATTAACACAGATATTTTGTGTTAAAATGAGATCAGATTTGCTGTTAAACTAGCTTAAAAAGAAGAGTTTGTCCAACCAGTGTCCAATGCTGTTTTATACAAAATCCACCTGGACAAAAACCAGTCTGAAAAACCAAGGCAAGTTCTTCTACTAACACACACTTATTCTATGAAAATTACAAATACAGTAGTGCTCATCATAATGTCATAACAATGCATGAAGGAAACAAGTATTGGCACTTGTTAATTAATCCCTTTCTTAAAGGAACCCTTACAAAAAAATCCCATGAAGAGAAGACAGCAGTCTGCATCATGCTGATGTGTCCTGGTAGGACGATGACTGCCCGATAACCCTGGCCTTCAGTAGGATCAGTCGGAGCTATCAGTGTCCGAGCCATCAACTCCATAGAGCTGAGCCAGGGTCCTGAAACGAGGTCCCCACTCATGCAAGAAGTTGTAGTCCAGATTGGACCCGCAGGAGGATGAGTCCAAAGAGCTGAGGGAACCGGCCAGGGATTCAGATCCCTCATAGCCATAGATGTGTAAAGTATCATAGGGAATCCCACCACGGTCATGGTCGGCCTCATCCTTCTTCACCTCGATCATCATGGCCATGTCACCCTTACAAGCAGAGGGTTTCTTCACCACGGCATACAGCGAAGGCCCTGGGCCGGGCCGAAAGCTGCTGTCGTGACAAGCAGAGGACAGGATGGAAACGTCATAACCGTTTGTGTCCATTTCTCCACCGCCTTCCTCGTCATATCTCACCAGCTGCTCGTGGATCTCACCAGAAGACTTTGTAACCAAAACTTCTTTTTGATAGCGCCTTCGCAACACGATGAGGACGACAATGACTAAGAAGATGAAAGAAATAGACACAGCCAATATTATTCTCTCTTTCATTAATAATCATTTTAACATCTTCTTGGTTTATACATAAGGTGGGACCCATGGGAATTTCAAAATAGCCTTGGTGTTGAAAAGGAAGACTCTTATAATCATGGGAGTATGAGAACTTCAGAATACTTCAACACTTCTTGTCTGTCTGATGGTGTGATGATGACCGTGATTTCACCAAGTACAACATGTTCCTGGATCAACATCCTTGTTGATCCTGGAACAACATTCCTATCAACCAATCAGAATTGATGGATAACTTTTCAGGAAATATCTGTTTTAAGCTTACAATCAGGGTTAGGAGCTTCTACACCCTTGTTAATCAGCTATCATTTCACACTGTTTTTAGGAATAAATTATGGATAGGGTTAGGTTTAGGGGTAGTGATTGGGTTAAGTCTATATTTTTGGACAGTTATGTTGTTCCAGGATCAACAAAAGATGTTGATCCAGGAACATGTCTTATTTGGCAAAATCACGGCGACCTGGTGTGACTGCAGATGCATTGTCTTAATGGTCATCACTTCAGCCTTGTTTCTCACATCTAGAAATGCAAGCGCAAACCTCTACTTTGGAAAAGGTGTAGAGATGCAAGCAAAATTTCATCTCCCACTTTCAGAAAAAAGTACAAGTCTGTCACTGAGGTGGTACCTTTTTAAAATGTAATAATATGTACTTGAACTATATTAGGTAATATGTACCTTTAAGGTACTAATATTCACCCTTTAGGGGTAAATAAGACAAAAAGTGTAGCTTTAAAAAGGTAACACCCCAGTGACAGCTTTTGCACCTTTTTTTCCCACAGTGACAACATCTCATATACAGTATACTAACTAACAATGACAATGACAGAGAATATGGAGCTAAGTGATTCTCTTACATGCTCATATTTACAAAGTTCCATCCATGGGTTATTTATACAGCCAGACCACTTAAAGGATCCTAAGAATGTGAATAAAATAAACAGCATCTCCACTTGGGAAATTACGTAGGAAAGCCATTCCTCAAAGACAGGATTTAAAATGTTCACATGTATCATTAATATAACCACCATCATGTCAGGCCTTCATAATCTGTTTTGCTGGGCTTGATTAAATGATGCTTTTGCTTTTTAAAAATGGGTTCCTAGTTTTATTTCTTTTAAAAAAGGAAAACACTAAGGAATGTGTCATTGGCCTTGCATGGATATCTTTGTAACAAAAAGAAGAAAAGCAAGTGAGATAAGTGATGTATGTAAATGTACCCAGGATGGTGACGATGCAGAGAAGAATGGCTAAGAGGGCGCTGACGCTCATTCCGGTCTGGGCGTAGGCCATGCAGTACTCGATCCGTCGTCCCGTCTGGCACGTGCACACTTTAATCTGGAAGAGGTTAATGCTCTTCTGTTCTGGTGTACCTCCGTCAGTGATTTCGATTGCCAGCACATATTCCATTGAGCGCTCTGTACTGAAACCGCCTTGCTTCAGCTTAATATCCGCAGTGTTATCTACAACAAATATTAATAATTGAAGCGATGCAGTCGTTCATTTTGCTGTTATTCAGGAGAAATGACTGACTATGTATGCCACAGGTGCAAGCTAACAATTTTTTTAATCAGCAGTGCTATTGTTGTCATTGGACTCTGCTTTTGTTTTCTGTTGATGCTTGGAGGGAAATGTTCCAGAGATTCTTGTGACAATTCAATGCAACCGGGCCTAAGAATATCCCATTTCACACAATAGTAGGAAGAGTAAATCTTCACTTTGACATTTGTGTGGCCTAAATTGAAATGCTCATCTAGCACATTTTGGGGAAAGCCAGATGCAAAAAGCAACATTCTGTTGTCACTTGAATACATAGAAATAAAATAAATGTAATTGTATATGAAATGTATAGATTACACTCATGAATATTTAAAACATATTTGTGGATTTTTGATGTTTTTGAAATAAGTCCTTTATGCTCACCAAGGCTGCATTTATATATCAAAAATACAGTAAAAACAGTAACATTATGAAATTACAATTAGAATTACAATTTAAAATAACTGCTTTCTAATGCAATTTATTCCTGTGATAGCAAAGCTGTATTTTCAATCTTCAGTGTCACATGATTCTTCTGAAATCATTTTAATTTTTTATTAAAAAGAAAAACATTCCAAGTAATTTTTCTTCGTTCCAGTCAGTGCACCTTATCAAGCTACTTTGGTTTCCTTTCTACTTGTTTCTGCCAGTTTAAAACAGTAAACTGTCATAATACTTCATTATACAGCTGTGAGGAAAGAAACCACAGTGTTCTGAAAATGTTCCTCAGTCTGGCACATATAGAATATTGAGTGTCAGATCATAGATTCATTGTGCATGGATGCTGCTTTTAGAAAGCTTGTACCTAATGCATTTAACAGTATTTTAGTGGGTTTTGCCCTATACCTTTTATGCCTGATTACTTTAGGATTGAGCAGCAGTTAGTTAGCTTTGGAGTAGACAGAGGTCTAAGGATAAAGCAGTCTTAATGTTTCTCATGAAACAGTGCCTGCACTAGAACATATCGTTTATGACCTCACATCTTTTGAATTCAACTTTACAAACATTATACTATATTTATAATGGTAGAGTGACTGACTGAAATTGGTTAGAACTACACTGTGGACCAACTTTAGTGAAGATGAATGAACTCACTTTGATTGTCATGAAGGGAAAATTCCGAGCTCTTTTTTGCCAGAGTGAAACGGAACCTGCCTGGATTTTCATCCTTGTCGTAGGCACCCACTGTCCCAATGATCTGCAAGAGCGTAATAAATGAAAGATTATGGGACTATATAGCCAAAGGAAAATCATTATAAATTTGTTAATGTGAAATGCATTCAAGTAACTCCTTACTGTTTCAGGTTCATCACGCTCACAAACATACACGTAGCTCCCGTTAGTTAGTTCTGGTGCGTTGTCATTAATGTCAAGAACCTTCAGTTTAACCATCGCATAGGATCTTAGACCTGAGGATTCAGAGGAAAAAAATGAAATTTACAAATAGTGACAGTGACAGTGACCTACTACTATTAAAAAAGATTTGTCTATGAATATTATTGTTACTTGGCTAGGGTAAATATGTAAAAATGTAAAGACATTTTTACTAAAATTTTTGCTACTATATTCATTTTTAATGAAATCAAAGTAGTCTTTCAAATAAACATAATAATTAGAACAGCAAAACAAAACAGTTCCCAGAAGTCACATTCTGTTGGATTTGTTGAACCGAATCTTTGATTAACAGATAATGTAGTCAGAGCTAATTCAGTGAACTTGTGATCCATATAGAATATAAATAAGACTGAAAATCACAACTGACATCACAATAGCCTAAAATCATATTCATATTTTGAAAACACACATATGTTTAGACACACTTAAAGGGACAATTCACCCAAAAAAATGAAAATTCTGTCATTAATTACTCACCCTCATGTCGTTCCAAATTCGTAAGACCTTGGATCTTTGGAACACAAATTAAGATATTTTTGATGACATCTGAGAGCTTTCTGACCCTGCATAATCATTCATATTCCAGAATCTGTATTAAATGTGAGGAATGTAACTGATCTTTATTCAGTTTAGCCTGTTGTAGGTGAATTTGCAGCTTTAAAGAAATTTTAATTGGAAAACAAACAAAAAACAAAAACTAAGCTCTTGTTTCTACAAGAGAAACTTTAACGCAGTGGTGGCCAACGTCGGTTCTGGAGAATCAAAGTCTTGCAGAGATCAGCTCCAACCCTAATCAAACACACCTGAACCAGCTAATCAAAATTACTAGAAAGCTACAGGCAGGTGAGTTTTTATCAAGGTTGGAACAAAACGCTGCAGGACTGTGGCTCACCAGGCTTTAATGTTGTAGTTTCATAGAAAATTAGAATTATGCAATGATCATAGTTCAGAGGAGTTTGATCCTTTTCCTGTAGCGTTTAGCTCCAACACACCTGACTGGAAGTTTTCATTGATCCTAATGATCTTGATTAGCTGGTTCAGGTGTGTTTAAGATAAACTTGGGTCAAAAGCTTGGACACCTTGCCATAGTGCTTCCATTTGATATTGAAGCGTTAATAGATTTTAGATAAACATATTAAATGTACATAGTTTTTAGTTAGATTTTTTTTTGTGTTGAGCAATTTAAAAAAAGTGAATATGTGTTTAGCATATTAACATTTTTGAATGTGACACTGACAACTGAATTGACTTGCTTTTAAGTAACATCATGCTTTCTTTTTCAGATTTCACAGAGTCCAAAGGAAAAGAGGCAGTAGACTGATGCAAGCCAGATTTTGAAAACTTGAACCGCTGGACCACTTGCTATAATAAAGTAAGACTTCTGTAAGTAATGTTATTTTTAAAGGGTTTCATGCTTTTGTCCTTTTGGATGCACTTTTTTTTTTTTTTTTTTGAATTTTATTTTCTGTCTTGTTGTCATTGATTGTGTTAAACTGTAAAATAAAATAAACTGACTCAACTGCTGGAAAGGTGTCATTTATGTTTGAAAAGGTTTTCCCCAAAATTTTGAAGTGGTCAGGAATATTAATGTTGTTTCAACATTAACTTGGTACATCAGATGGCAATGGTATTTTATGGTGACATTTCAGTTGTAATTTCAATTTTTCAGCAAAAGTGATTTAGAACCAACATAACATTCAAATTGATCAAATGATATTACCAATAGTAATTTTTTGTTAATTTCAATATTGATTCAACAGCAGTGATGTAGAATCAACATCATAGTGTAACACTGATTCACTGACATTATCATTTATTATTTTTGTTAATTTCAATATTGATTCAACATCGGTGATGTGGAATCAATCCTAGAGTAACTTTGATTTAACAATATTATCATTGATTATTTTTATTCTTTTCAATCTTGATTCAGCAACAGTGATGTAGAATCAATCATACACTCTAAAAAATGCTGGGTTGTTTCAACCCAACTTTGGGTCAAATATGGACTAACCCAACTTTTGGGTTAAAAATTTAATGTAAAAATTTAACCCAAAGGTTGGGTTAGTCCATATTTGACCCAAAGTTGGGTAGAAACAACCTGGCATTTTTAGAGTGTAGTGTAACGTTTATTCAATGGATTTTTATTTTTTTTTTAAATCTCACCATTGTTTCAACATTAATTGTGGGTGCAAAAGTGATGTTGAACCAACATCATTTCATAACATTGATTCAATGACATTTTCATTGATTTTCTGTTGAAATCTAAATCTTGTTTCAACATTAATTGCAGGTGCAAAAGTGATATTGAACCAACATCGCTTTCTAACATTAATTCAATGCAGTTAGCATTAACGCATCAACATTGATTAACATTGATTCAATGGTTGATTGCCATCTGGGAGAGGAATACACATGCTACTCTCATGAATGCGTGGCGAAGACTGACACAGAAGAGAAGAAATTGTTGAATAAAGTCATTATTTTTGTTTTCTTTAGGCACAAAATGTATGCTCGTAGCTTCATAACATTACGGTTGAACCACTGATGTCACATGGACTATTTTAACAATGTCCTTGCTACGTTTCTGGGCCTGGGAACATTTCAGTTGCATTGCTGTCCATGCAGGGTCAGAAAGCTCTCAGATTTCACCAAAAATATCTTAATTTGTGTTCCGAAGATGAACAAAGGTATTGCAGATTTGGAACGACATGAGGGTGAGTAATTAATGACAGAAGTTTCATTTTTGGGTGAACTATCCCTTTAAGTGAATTCATGTTCCTCATGGTGGTAAATACATTTTTATTTAAAGGCTTATGCTTAAATTATTATCATAAATATAAATTGTGCATATGGATGAATTAAATTAAACATTTAATAATTTTAATATAAAAACCACTACTTATTCCCTGAAAAATAATTCACATAATTCACATCCACATCATGTATGCATTTATTTTATTTCACAGTTTTTATGACTTCACTATTTTTCCAAAATGTGTAAAAAGTAAGAATAAAAAATATGATGTTGTGTCCAGACTTTTGACTGGTGGTGTAAATGGGTAAGTTGTGAAAGCTTTTTTATATCTTACCATTTGGTACATCCTCATGTGCTGTAACCTGGAATGTGTGCAAGGATTCTTGCTCTCTGTCCAGTTGTCTCTTTAAGGACAGATGTCCTTGTACAGGATCCACAGCTACAGGACAGTTTGCATCTTCAATAGAGTACCTAGAGTGATCAAATGTCAACATTAGATTTAACCATTTTCATCTGTTTACTCTGTAACTTTTATGACAGTACAGCAGAACACAGCAGGCCTTTCTTTTGTTGATACATGAATGAAAATACAGGTACCGTATTTTGTAACCAGTTTTATCTGGATCCTTTGCTGAAACAGCTCCAATGATTGGACTCTTGAATTGGCCTTCGTAGATGCTGAAGTTGTATTCAGTTTGGCTGAAAACAGGTGGTTCGTCAACATCAATTACACTGATGAAAACTTGGGCTCTCTTCTGCAGGTTGGGTCCTTGGTTATATGGTGATTTAGACACTGTGTGCTCGTCCACGTTTACATTAAATATGTGCATATTTTTCGTTTCATAATCGAGTGGCTGTGAGTGAAAAGAGAAAAAAAAGAGCAAAACAATAATAATTCAAGAGTGGAAATGTAAGCTTTAATTGAAATCTTGAACAGTATTGCTCAGTCTTAAATATTCAAGTTGGCTAGTATCTAGTTTAGTATTGAAGCTTGAAATGCTTACCACTTTGAGGCTAAGAACTCCATCTTTCTCATTATTTAGTTTAATGTCATAGACTTCATCAAATTCATGTTGCATAGTAAATGTTGGATCTTTGTTTTGTATCTCATCTTTGTCCTCCACTCCTAATATGCCAATTTCATATCCCAGTTTGCTGTCTTCTTTTACATTAAAATGGTATTTTTCTGCAGGTGAACAAGACATTCAGTTGACGTTGACTTTAAAAGTAGTCTAGTCTAGCATGCAGTGTGTCTTTGCAAAATATTTAGTTAAAATTTTTACAGTTAACTTACCTTTCTTGAAGGTGACAATGTTGTCATTTTCATCATTAATGCTAATGGTCACAATTGTAGTAGCAGAATTCCCACTCTCAATTCCTGGCATGTCTTTGGCTTGTATAGCAATTATATACTGATTCTGTTTCTCACGGTCAAGACTGCTTTTTAATGTAATGATATTACCTAAATAAATAAATAATAAATAAAAGAAGAAGAAGAAGAAGAAGAAAATAAATTATTGAGCACCAAATCAGCATATTAGAAAGATTTCTGAAGGATCAAGTGACACTAAAGAGTAATGAATGACTGCCGAAAATTCAGCTTTGCCATCAGATTTGCCTCATTTTTTTAAAATACTAAAACAGAAAAGTTACTTAAGAGATATACAACATAAGAGACTTCATTTAAAAAAAAAAAAAACTTTTTGACCCCAAACTTTATAATTGCTTGCCTTTATTGTTGATGTTGAAGAGGTCTGTCCCATTTAGCAGTTTGTACTCAACCCTTCCATTTTGAGTGTTGCCATCATCAGCATCAGTTGCATTTACTGTCATTACTATTGATCCTAGAAATATAATGTGTCAATAAATAAATACAATTTCTACTACATAATCAGTCTTTAGTTCTATCTGTGAAGCTGTACATATGGACATCATGGCCACTATGGAAAAAGATCTATGTTTATGTTGCTCTGTTACCTGCTTTAGAAGACTCGCTGATGGATCCAGAGAGGTCAGGTGGAAAAACAGGGCTATTGTCATTAATATCCAGAACCACTATTACAAATGTATCATCGTTGTCAAGCTGTTTTCCGCTCGTAATGTTGATGAGTGAAGCTGAAAGTTTGTAGACACTTTTCTTCTCCCGGTCCAACTTTGCATTGACATTGATATCCCCATAGTCATTTACAGTAAAAATTACGTTAGCACCTTCTCCTGAGAGAATATATCTTGAGATTGTAGTGAAAAATGTATTCTCTAGCTAGAAAAGAAAGGGAAATAAATGAAAAAAGTGATAGAAACAAAAGCAACCAAGACAAGAATCCAAAAATTCTGTTCATTATATCTAATAGTAACTCCTAGGATGACTCTCCTTGAAGTGTGTTTTAATTAAAGGGATAGTTCACCTTCAGTTGCTGGTCCCCACTGATTTGCATAGTTTTTTTTCCTCATACTATGGAAGTTAATGGGGACCAGCAACTGAAGGTGAACTATCCCTTTAAGTACACTCTTAAAAATAAAGGTGCTTCAAAAGGTTCTTCAAGCGATGCCATAGAAGAACCATTCAGTCAAAGGTTCTTTAAAGAACCATCTCTTTCTTACCTTTTTATAACCTGAAGAACCTTCTTTCGCCACAAAGAACCTTTTGTGAAACAGAAAGGTTCTTCAGATGTTAAAGGTTCTTTATGGAACCATTTAGACAAAAAGGTTCTTCTATGGCATCATGAAGAACCTTTATTTTTAAGAGTGTAGTAGATTTTGCATTTATTCAAAAAAGCATATATAACTAATTTCAATAAATGTATCACTGACTACGTTTACATGGACATCAGTAATCTAATTATTTACCTTATTCTGAATAAGACAATATTACGATTAAGGTGTTTACATGAGTTGCTTTTAGAATAATCCTTTCATGTTCCCGTTTTACATGTTATAGTACATAGATCGATTAATGGCACACGTCATTACTTCACCACGCGACGCCATCCGACGTCCCCTCCAGAATTTCACGTATAAACATATAATTCATTTTCGTTATGATGCCATGTACAGTTTTGGGTGTTTCATTTTTTATTTACTGAAAGCTTCAAGTTCAGTTAATTATTTGTCATGCTATACATGACAAATTTATATACATATACATATTTATATCTATACATATTTATTCCTTCTCTTTCTAGCTTGTACTTATTTGAACAATGTCTAAGAACTTGGTATTACAACCACTTCCTGTGTCTGTTTGCCTCTTTAAGAAGAATCGCTTTATGTATCCCCCAATTGTAAGTCGCTTTGAATAAAAGCGTCTGCTAAATGACTAAATGTAAATGTAAATGTATACATGCAAACAGACGACGGCGTTGTTGAAGCCATTCTTTTGTTTGTCGTCAAACGGTTGACCACTGCTGTATGTGAATCCGGTCGCAAAATGCGGCGAAAAGTCCTACACGACTGTAATAATGTCTAGTGTACATTGTGTAGGACTGTGTACATGTCTAGACTGCGCTTCAATAATGCGACTAAAATAGGAATACTCCACATGTCCTAATTCGATTAGTGTTTACTTCGATTATGACTTTAGCCGGATTAAGGTAATCAAAAATCTCTGTTTACATGGTAGATTCTTAATCAGAGTATTGTCTTAATCGTATTAAAATCGGAGTATTGTTGTCCATGTAGACGTAATCATTGTTTAGACCCTTTACCTTTCCAATTTTTTCAGGTGGGTTTTTTGGAGGCATTTCCTCATACACATAAAGTTTATCCCATTTCCAGTCTCTCTTATGTCTTTGAAGCACTCTGCTTGGCACGGATGGTGTTTTCAGAGCTTGGTGGACATCAGCTCCCATGCTGAGGGTACATAAAACGACCAGGACACCTGCCCAGAAGCCAGGCTCAGTCATCTGCCTGCAGGCAGACTGTTTCATCATCTGTGCACCATGTGAATGGAACAACAGAACAAAAATATCTATACATTAATTCATATCTTTGAAGACGGTTTCTTCAGCCTGACAAACTTCAAGAAAAGAAAGAAAGAAAGAAAGAAAGAAAGAAAGAAAAAGAAAACCCTTTATTATCTTTGACTTTGAAATCCCTTCATTAAATTGTCTCATTAGGGTTCCTCTTGTCGCACAAACTTTAGACTGTATTTTTGTGAATCATGGGAAACAGCAGACTCTAACTCTGTGAAACTGTTAAAGCCTACTAATACATTGCCTAGCCTTCTACATTCCCATCTCAGATAACACGCTATAGCTTGATGGACCATTCTTATGTTAGACTCATTTAGATGATGATATTAAGATGAGGTGGATTATGCTTCTTAAGTGTTCCCAAATTGCTAAATCTTTGCTATAGAGACTCATCAATTCTTCCACTCAAAATGAGTACTTTCACATAAGGCATAAAATGCCCTCACTTCATAACAATGGATTCAGAAAAATATTCAGAGTTAATTTCTACTCTGATGTTGCTGTTCATGTGTGCGTTTTTTTTTTTTTTTGTCTGTTCTCCAAACAGGTTAAGGGCAAAAGGGAAATGTTGTTAATTATCCAGTCTTTGGTAGGAGTTAAAAGAATTATTATACAAATTCTCTCTTATAAATATTATTTAAAAGAGTTATTATAGAAATATAAATAAATAAATAAATTTAAGAAGGCAAATTCATATAATGACTTTAAATATTCTTTAAGGTCATGACAAATAATCTTTTGCATTAGTGGACAGAAGTTACAACATACTTGTGGAAAATAATGTACTGCACAATGCATTTGGCTAATGTTCTGGCAAAGTTCTCTCAAAGCTATGAAAAAAAAAATCTTCCAGTAATGTTAACACAACTTTTATTCAGAGTTATCTGGTCTTCATTAAAGTTCTCAAATCATTAGCACAAAAACGATTATACTTCTAAAACGTTTCAGTTGGACGTTCATATAACAGTTTTTACTACTACAAATGTTACTACTACTGTTCAAAGAACATTTAAAAGTAACATTCCCATAATGTTTGCAAAATTATAAAATTGAATGTTCCCTTAACGTTCGCAAAATTCACAATTTTTATTTATTTTTTTTGATTGTTCATTGTAACATTTTAATAACTTAATGGGAACGTTAGCAAAATGCTCTTAGAGCATATTTTTGTTTGCTGGGTCAGTAACTGAATGTTTTATTGCAAATGTAATGCAAAATGTCCCAGTAAACTACTTTTACTGGACAAGCAGTGTTCCCTGAGCGCTGATATTTGATGTAAGAGCACCACCTCGCCTGTCTGTGTTTGCTACACTGAATTCCAACTCTTGATTCTGCATTGCTTCTTTTTGTTTTTGATGCAGACTACCCATATTTTATTTGAATTATTGGTTACTAAATATTAACTTCTTGATAATTCAGTCAGCAGCTTTCTGGTCATGTTATATTGCAATATTAAAATCAGTTTAGTTCCTCTCTCTTTTGTCCTTTCTATGATATTTTTATAGAAAAAAATGAGAGCAGATAATTTCCATTCAAACAAGTCTAATGTAAACCATCACATACTTCTCTTCAATGTCCCACCCACCTCTCTCAGCATAAAACATGTTTTTTTTAATGCAGTGCAGTGCTATCAACAGCTTTGGAGCTGAGACTCATTGTAATCTCAGTACATTGACACTGAAGCATGTTCAATACAAATTGTTCTTAACATTTGACATTATTGAAAAGCGCACCATTTCCACAGCAATTGTTGTACAAACCAGTCATTTGAAAGTCTGTCTGTGTATGTGTGTGTGTGTGTATGTGTGGGTTTCAGATTAAAATAGGTTTTAATCACAGAGCAGATTCCAGCAATCTGCAGTCTGCCTACTCTCTTCTCTAGGAAATTCAGCCTGACATACATCAACTACCCCCTCCTTTCTATCACATGTCTTCCGTGTCACAAGTTCCAGAAACCTGTTAAAGGTGTCACTGTCTGAAGTGTGTGCACTGCACCTGTTCTCACCTCTGACTCATCTGCTACACCTCTCTTTATTTAGATTCCAAGTATATGTGTCGCATAATGTCAAGCTTACGGCTGGCATGTTTTATATTTTTTCTAGACTGAACTGTGATGTTTTACATGACCTTTAATAATTAACATCACCAACTTTCATTCTTTGTATGATGACATAGCACTCACTTCTGCACCTCTTAAAACATTATTCTTACAGTGGCATATGGGATGAGACTTTAAGAATAACCTGTAACTGTTGTGCTGCTTCAAGAAAGAAGCAGGACAGATGGTGTACGGATTTATAATTGTTTCTCTGTCCCTAAGTAAAATGTCACATCCAGATAAGTTCAATGTCTTCCCATGGGTAATCAGTGTTCCTTGGGAATTTACTTCCTATTAGTCAAGGAAGCATCATTCAAATGAGACTTTCGGATTTTTTGTAAAGATGCACATAAGGAATATTACAATATACATTACAATTGAATTCAAATCAAATAGAACACACAGAGACACAGTATATATTATACAGTTATCAAAAGATGTAAATATTTCAACTCAACTTAAACAAATATCACTAGAAAAACAAATATATAAACATACAGTAAATATATGTCAAACATAAAAAAAACAATCACCTACCAGGGTCCCTTCAACAGTCTTCCTCGAATTGAAAATCCCTAGAGTAAATGAATCGTGTTATATCCTCCTCAGGTACAGGTCAGCGGTGTCTGTTTCCAGCTGCATGTGAACCTGTCTGAGCTTCCCCTGAGCTGTTCACTGGATAATCAGGCCCCTCCAGTGGTAAAAGTGATCAGCCCAGCCCAGCAGTTCCTCTGGCCGCTTCCTGTTATTATCCCAGCCTCTTTAGTCCAGCTCCAAACCCCTCTCTGGAAAATCAGATAAGATTTGCAGCCCCCTGTCCACCAGTAGCTCTTACAGGCAAGCGGAGCATTGCGCCGCTGAACGAGAGAGAGTGAGCGAGAGACGGGGAGCGATTGCGACTGGCAGAGAGAGACTGAGGGGGTGGTCATTAAGTTCCAGCTCGCTCCCTTAAAGAGGAGAGGAAAGCAAAAGTGATTTATTATTCAAAGCTATAGAATAAAGAGCACAATAAACAGGTTAAAGGAGTTAAAGTAATCCCGAGAGATTTTCCTCAGAGTGGTATTACATTTTACAGAGGCTGTGACTGTCATATCTGCCTCTGTGATCTTGTCTAAACTAGTAAGTGAGAAAGGGGCAGGTGGGTGAATCTACTCATGCGTTCAGCGGAGGGTTGAGTTTAGGGACTGGGACTTGCGGCGGATGTATGTATCTGTCAGAAGTGCTTAGCGTTGTGCCCCATTGATCTAAGTGGAGAGAGTCAGTTTAGTAGGATTAGTTGCACGGAATTACCGGGCCGTTTTTACAGGGGACCTAAGATAAATACCCCTGGGTGCTTAGACAGAGAGGCAATTGCCGAATTGAAGCCCTGCTTGACATTTGCTTTTGTTTGTTTGTCTGCTGCTTGGCTTTTGAGAGGATATTCTTATTTCTTTGAATATGTCTACTGGACTTCACTTTGAAAGATGTGGCTGACAGATTCCCAAAACAGGCCTCTGGTAAAAAATAAATAAATAAATAAATCGGGTCTAAATTTTGATCCGTTTTTAGCCCTTGCTCAGACCACTCTGCAGGACTTTTGATCAGATTCGGTTGACTTTAAATCTGCTTCCTGTCTTTGAAGAGTATTATTTGACCTCATTTTTTAAACGTAACAAACTAACACATGAAAAAAAAAATCTGATTGCGATAAAGGGGAAGAAATGTTAACGTGCTTCATGTTGTGGTCTTGAAACATAACTGTTTCAAAATGGCATGATGTGGAAACTGACCTTCAGCTAACTTGACTTAAGAACATTTTACACATCTCATTCTATGATACCTGTTCAATTCAGATGGTACTTAGGAATGTAAGACTTATATAATTATATAGTATGGAATGTTAGATAACTGGAGACTGAGGCAATAATTTTATGCTTAGTGGATGTCTTAGATAAATAATGGTCAAGGTCAACTCTTTAGAAGTGCAGTCGTTGGTGTAGAGGGAGAAGAGCAGTGGGGAGAGGAACGGAACCTTGAGGAGCTCCATTGCTGATTATACGTGTGCTGGATGTGAGTTTTCCCAGCCTCACTAGCTGCTGCCTGTCTGTCAGGAAGCTGTTGATCCACTGACAGAAGGAGGTGGGCATGGAGAGCTGAGTTAGTTTGGGCAGGAGCTGAGGGAAGAAACTGTTCCTGTGTCTGGCCGTTCTGGTGCTCAGTGCTCTGTAGCGTCAACCAGATGGCAAGAGTTTAAAGAGGGAGTGTGCTGGATGTGAGGGGCCCAGAGTGATTTTGCTAGCCCTTTTGCACACTCTGGATGAGTACTGTTCTTGAAGAGAAGGGAGGGTTGTACCAATGATTCGCTCAGCAGTCCGGACTACCATCTGTAGTCTTCTGAGGTCAGATTTGGTAGCTGAGTTGAACCAGACAGTTATAGAAGGTGTAACACAATCTGGGCCTGGTGCTTTTTTCCTTTTCTGCTTCCGGAAGACCTGGCGCACATCGTCTTCACTGATTTGAGGTGCAGGTGTAGGGGAGAGGGGGGTTGCAGGAGGTGTGAATGGTGTGAATGATTGTGTGGAGAGGCGTTCAGGGTGGGTGTGTTGTTCTGTCTCTGTGATCTGACCAGCGAGTTTCTGTAAAGCTGAGCTCACGTGCGCTTGCGGAGGAATGTAAACACTGACGAGAATGAACGAGCAAAACTCCCTCGGCGAGTAGAAAGGCTTACAGTTAATGAAAAGCGCTTCTAGATCTGAACAGCACATCTTCTTTAACACGGTTACATCTGTACACCACCTTTCGTTGATGTAAAAGCATGTCCCGCCGCCGCCGCACGATTTTCCCGTTGATTCCCGTCGCGGTCTGCTCTAAACAGCTGAAAGCCCGACAGATTTAACGCGCTGTCCGGTATGGCGTCATTCAGCCAGGTTTCCGTGAAACACAGAGCAGCAGAGTGTGAGAAATCCTTATTTGTCACGAGCGCGCCGGCTCGCTTCCCCCGTCTGCGCGTCCTGAAGCGCTTGATCTTCAGTTGCTCCGCCAACTACTATGTCCAGCAAAACATCAGAATAGTCGAAAACCGGTAATATAGCGGGTGATGTGTAGAGCCGAATGTCCAGCAGTTCGTCTCTGGTGAAACTAATTGCAGGGATATAACTAAAGACAGGACAAACTAACAAAAACACAAAAACAACTGCAGAGCACGCCACGGAGGCCGCCATCATCATCGGCACCATCATATTTTCTCCACATACCTTTCATTCAAAATTTAACCAATTTTTTTTACAGTATTATTGCCATTGTAGACGTACAGTGCTACTGTACAGTACATGTGGCTCAGGTGTCAGGTGTATTACTCAACAAGAAATAAAACCTTAAGTTAGTGTAAATGGAGCAATCCTTTCATTATCCAATAAAAATAATAATACCGGTAATAATTAGCCCAGTGGTGGACTGGCCATCTGTCCAGGATGCACCAGCACCCCCTTAAACCTTACACAGGAAAATCTGATCCGGAAAAATAACAGATAAGGGCAATAAAAAAATTAATTAAAACAAATATATATATATATATATACAAGAAATTAGTTGTGACTTCGATGAACATTTAATAACATACTGTACCTTCTATAATATACCTTCTAAAAATATAATTGTGGCGAGGGGGCGTGGGAAGTCGAAAGGCTGCAGCGGGAGAAAGGGTTTGGAGACGAGCGGTGATAAGGAGGTCAAGTGAATAATGATTAACACCTGTTTGTAATTCCAGTGATTGGGGGAGAGACGAGAGATAAGCGCCCGCAAACCTGGGAGAGGGAGATCCGAGAGAGTGAGAGTCGGAGCAGTGTGCCTGTGTGTTTGTGACCGTATGCAAGACTGTGGAGGCAGAGAGCCGAGCAGCACCTTATTTTTTGTTCTATTTTGTTTTGGGGGAAAATAAAGAGGTTTACCCGCCACCCCTGACTTCCTCGTCCTTCTTCCGAACTACGAACTATATTACCCTGGTGCCGAAACCCGGGACGAGGAAGCCGGCACGCCGCCATGCAGCCAGCTCAGCCCACGCCACTTGCGGAGCTCGTGAAGTCGCTCGCCGGGCTTCACCAAACCCAACATCAGGCGCTGATGGACCTCAAACTGGAGCAGGAGGATCGGTTCCGCCTGTTGGTCCAGGCGCAGGAGCTTGCTTGGCCGGGAGGTCGCCCCAGTAGCGACCCCCTCCATCGGCCACGTCCCGCTGATGAAGATGGGTCCACAGGATGACCCGGAGGCAATCGTGGACCTCTTCGAGAGAACAGCAGGGGCGTGCGGCTGGGCGCGCACCCAATGGCCGGTGCGTCTGATCCCGCTGCTGACTGGGGAAGCACAGGTGGCAGCCCAACAGCTGCCTGTCGTGAACCTCCTGGCCTACTATTACGCCCCTCGTCTAGGGGTAGTAAAAATATAGTTCTTAACAGGGCATAATAAATCTGGGTTGTGGTAATGGAATCCCAAGTATGAATCACTCCGGTCGATAATCAAACACATCCACGATGTTAGTCAGATTAAAGGATTAGATTTATTTTAAAACAAGTGAAATAAAGAGCATCTCTCCAGGATGTCCCAAAGGCCAAAATAACAAACAAAACAAATCTAGAGAGGAAAAAAGAGATAAATAACCTAATCGAATAACGAAATAAAAATACAGCTTACTTCCCTAACTGCCTAACACAAAACAGAGCCCAAACAAGATAAGTAAAACAAAACGGCAGGACACCCTTTTGCTCTATGATCTTAACACACAAAGTTGAAAACGAATAAACGTGATCAACATATTTTACACTCCACTTGAGAATACACATTTGATCATCGGCCGGAGGAGGGATCCAGGAACTCTCAACCCAATCGCGTCCGAACCAACAATGAGCTCCCCGTTGAATGCCGGCGGCGTCCTTATAAAGGCCATGCCTTGTCTCAACCACCAATGGCGATCGTACACCCCATCAGCGGACATCCTATCAGAGAGCAGACAGAATGAAAGAGGGAGGAGAAATAACACGTACACACACACACACAACATGGCAAATACAGGAAACGCAGGTCGTAACAGTATGTAATGGATTACATTAAACCAAAAATTATTCAGACCGTATGACAGTATTTACACAACTATCAATACTTAGTCGGGCAACCTTTAGCCTTAATGACAGTCTGTAGTCTCAT